CCTGCAGTTTTTACCGAAAAAAATTACCCTATTCACTCTCACGCTGGCACTGCTCTTCAAGCCAGATTTCCTTCCCAAGCTGGAATTCCCTTTCCTGTCCTCCACGTGAATTTAATGCTGAGTCGTCGTTTTCCCTTCAGCCTTTTCAAAGACGAGACTCAGCACAACCACTAGAAAGGGGTCGTCCCCTAGCACCACGTATCCCCCACATAATGCCCTCGTCCTGGCTCCCTGGTGAATCAACCCCTGCCGCAGCTCGCCGAGTATCGCTGTTGCACAAGGGCCATTCTGTCCCGCTTGCAACTTGTTCCAGTAATTAAGATTCCCCATGGTCCAGCTCATAGCCTGCAGGCCTGATTTAAGCCCTGGGAAGCTTGTGTCTGGCCTGCCACCGAGGAGCTATCGAGGTGTTCACACTGCCTCAAAAATCCTGGTCTTTGTTTCTGAAGCCAGGTCCCGACCAGCTTCCCCGAGCTCTCATTTGAGCACGCCCCGTAAGGTGATAACGCATCCCTCAAACGACTGGATCCTCCTAATTCACTTCTCCGTCCCTTCATCTCATCATCAGACAAGCACAGCTGACTATCACATGTGCTTTCACAAGTACCCGAGCTCACGCCGTATAAATGGAGTTTATCTCGTGTCAATCACGGCGCTGAGAATCTCTGCGGATCTGCTTTAAGCACACCTGCAGCGTCGTTATTTTCTCTTCATGCCAGGGTAGCTCTCTTGATCTATCTGGCTGCGTCGCTGACAATCAGATACCCGTGAAAGCAGCACGAAGCCCTGAACTCGTTCTGCCTGCTCTGCTGTTGCACCAGGAGCTGGTAATGCCTGGACGGAGCCCGGAGGTGCCTGCACGCCTGGTGGGTCGCTGCCCTGGGCTTTCCTGCAGCAGGGACAGCCGGCGTGTGTTTCAGCACAGAGTTTGCTGAGCTGTGGATATATTTGATGAGAAGCAGGGAAAAAGGACTTAAGACGTGTAGGGGAGCATGGAGCAGTGGGCAGAGCACAGAGCAGGCAGGTTCCCTGCTCCTAGCTCGGCCGGAGAACTGGGACCAGTGAATCACGGGCTGGTTGATCTCATTCTCACCGACTCCCCATGACTTCATCTGACACTGGTGTTTGCAGCTCCACTCCGGAGCCTGTCTAAAGGAGTGCCCCAGGGTTGGCTTAACTGTTTCTGTTCTATTTTGTTTGAAATGGACCCAATTTTTTCACTTTCTCACTCCGGGGGAGGTTTTTTTTTTTAGGTACCTGCTGATGGTGATTGTTGTGCAGCACACTGCACAGCAGAAACACCTCAGTACAAGCAATAAAAGACATAAATTTACCTGTGTATATACAGTTAAAAAAAAAAATGAAGTTGAAATCAAGAACAAAAACATCAGGGAATAGAAAAAAAATAATCAAGGATTTAGGGATCACAGTTATGAAAAATAACAAGAGGAGAATAAGCAAGCAAAAGGCTGCAGAGCAATCTCAGAACAAATATTTCATTTTCCCTGAAAATTTTCAGCCAGTTTGACAGTACATGCCTCAGTTTCCCTAATTGCTACATGGGGTTAGCAACCCAGACCTATTTTGCAAAGGTGTTGTCAAGTTTAATTTGTGAACCTTTGAAAAAGGCTCTGAGTTTTTCAGATGAAAGGCACTGCAGATGCCAAACGTGGGTGGATGCTCTGAGTCAGAGGCACAGACATGGGCATATTGTGTGATCGGCCTGACGCAGTGCACCAGATAGGAGACAGTTGTCCTCTGCAGGAAATGGAGGGATGGTCGGTGCAAAAATCATAGCTGGTGCTTACACAAGTGTGAACTCATGCTAGAGAAATCAGGAGCCACCCTCCAGGGAGGTGCAAAGATACAGCCTGCAATAAAGAGAAGTCCGGTCTGTACTTTACCTTGACTCCCAAATTGCCTGAAATAAATGTGTGTGTGCAAGCCTCCTAAACACGGCTGAGAACTGAAACACAGATTGTCTGATGAACTGCCCTCTAACTAGCAGCCTGCCCTGTCACCCCAACAGCCCTCCCGAGCTCCCTTGGCGGAACTGGCCAGCGTGATGGTGCTTGTGAACACCTCAACTTCCAGGCAGGTGTGAACGGCTGATTTCCCAGCACAAACCAGAAATAACAAGTGGGAGGTGGGCCCCATCTGCAAGCGATTTTTTGGCAGTGAAAATAAATAAGCAAAGACAAGGAGGTGCAGAGAGATGATGGGGAAAGAGTGGGCTTGGCTTCTGGCGACGGAGCCGAGCTGCAGTCCCAGGACGCGTGGCAGCTGTGGTGATGCATTAAGTTCTCCTTGGTCACACAAGGGCCTGCCACGGTTTTGCAAGTATTTACGAGCAGGACGTGCCCAAGGCACTAATGCCAGGCCTGTGGGATGGTGTGAGCGTAAGCTGAGGTTGAGCAGGGACCAGTGAAAGTGGCGTTAGGCAGAAGTGCCTGGCAGCAGCGGGGAATGCTCCCTGTGTACACGGAGGGACAGCCTCGCTTGCTTTCTGCAGATTCAAGGGAAATTCAGGCCAGGAAACAGGCAAACAGGTTGCTCTTAGAGAAATCCACTTTGTACTTGGCTCCATTAGTCTGCACAAGTACATCTGCACATGACTGTCCTCCGGCACGGTGAATTTAAGCAGAGAATCCTCAAAACTAAGAAGCAAGGACAGATGCCACCCAACCTACTCAAAAAACAGCCCAGAACCAGAGGCTGCATGGAAGCACGGACTGCCACGAGAGCCTACAACGGTTCCAACTCAATCAACCTCATCCTGAGCCCAGCTACTCTTGAGTCTGCCTGGGAGAGCTGCATTAAACTCATTTACTTTGCATTTGCATTGGTAAAACTGTGATGAAAAAAATAATAATCAGTCCTTAAGCTTTTGTCTGCCTTATGTAGTCCAAAAAATAACAAGGAGTCGGGAAAGCTAGAGAAACAAAGACATTCCTTTTCCAAGTCAGATCTCCTCATATAGATATTTTTTGTATCCTAGGTATTAATGGTGGCTTGGAAAAGCTCTGCTGAGCCTTTTCTGTACACGTGAGAACAGGCGCCTCCACCCTGCAGTATTTTTAATTACTTGGAGATCTCCAGGACTGTTGATGTTATAAAGATCAGCTCAGCCTGGGAAGCCAAGAGGAAAGAAATACGTATGTATGGATGTGCCAGCCAATCTCTTCCTTTTATGAGCATTGTTTTTAAAAAGTAGAATTGCCCTTTCCTACACCAGCGAATGACTTCTGAGTCAAGAAAGACTCCTGTTGATAAAAACCTGTCCATTAGACATCACTGCAAAAGGGGAGCACTTCCCATCAACTATTACCCCAAAACAATAGTGTTTACTGAATTATTCCCCATGCAGAGCAAGCCATAACTACTACTGTCCTAACAGGCAGCAAGAGGGGCTGACTCCATGGGCCAGCATTCCAAATGCAGCTCAGTTGAAGGCCTTTTTTTTTCCCTCTTTCTTTTTCTCTCATTTTTGCATAGACAAAGCCCTTATAAATCATATCTATAAGGCTGGTGCTTCCTGGATATCTCATTCTCATATCAGATCCAAAATGTACGCCGTTCCTGTTTTGGGCTGCACTTCTATTTCCTCCACACCTAAAAAAGGGCTGCAAAGCACAGACCTGGATCCTGCCCCTACTGCTTAGAGCACTTCCAGCAGGGGGGCTGCTACAGATTTCTAATGAGAAATTATTGCAGGGTAAAAATTACATTCTCCAGCAGTAACACCATTCCATTCTGGAAAAAAAAAAAAAAAAAAAAAAGAAGAAGAAATTAAGCACGAATCTTAGGCACGGTTAATTTACAGCCTGGGTGTTAATCTCAGAGCAATCTCACTGAAGTTCAGAGCATAATCTATGTTACATTGATATGAAATGAGTGTAGGGTCCACCTCCTTCTTTTGAAGTTAATGGAATTCAACAGTGCTGATAAAGAGCCTTTTTCTTCTGAAATCTGTGATTCCAGTTGGCTGAATACGAACCATTATGGGGTGTGGACTTTTTTTTTTTTTTTTTTTTTTTTTAATGAAAGGAACATTTCATGAGCTTTGAAATGATTTTGCTGAATCTCCCATCCAATGTACCCTCTTTTTGCCAGTCAGGGAGGTGAAAAATGAAGGGAAAAGCAGAGGAAGAGAAAAAGTAAAACCACCTAAGTTGTTTTATCTGAATATATTTGTTTCGGGCAAGAAGTTTAGCATTTTCCAGGAATACAGCTAATGGAGAGAGAAAGACTTATTTTAAAAACTCTTTTGCATTTCTTTTGTTCTTGCATGAAATATTTTGGCCATCTAGTTGTAGAACATTTCATTTTCCAGGTATGCGTCTCTCAGTTCAGTGGATGTTTATGGGAAGAGCTGCAGAAGGCACACTTGAACCCGTATTTTACTGAGAGCAGGCAATGAAATAGGCAGTGGGGGTTATTCTATTAGTCACCTAAGTGGGGATCACATGGCCTGTGGGAAAACAGGACTCTGGCTGAGTTTTATTTTGGGTCTGCTATGTTCCTCTAATACACGGGTTGGCTCTTCCCAGGTCCAGATGGATGGACCTCGCACAAACCCAACATCAAAATCAAAATAAAGGTAAGAGGGGTCTTTTAAACCCAGTATTATCCATGTTTCCCCTCCCTCTCCCAGTGAATACAGTAAGCCCTGGGGGGAGCCTGGTTTAAGAATGCTTTATTCTAGGCGTTCATTTTAATTACAACCATAATTATTTTTGTGCATGTGTATGACCCAGTTAACAAACCCATCCTCGGCATCTCATGGTCTCTCCGACCCTGCCCATCTCTGCAAGGAGGTAACCTCAGCTCCTGGCAACAACGAGCAAAATTATTTTTGAAACAAGCGGTAGAACTGGTTGCTACATCTTAATGAAAATGACTTCTTTTTTTTTTTTTTTTTTTTTCCAAGCATTTCTATGTATATAAACAGCCCTTCCTCCCAAACCTGGTTAGACAAGAATGTTCCTGGGTGTGGACCGCCTTGTATAATTAACTGCACAGCTGTAGCTTCTGATCCCTGGTAACGTCTGTTTCTTTCTTCCTTTCTCCCTGCCTCTACCTAGCATAATCCGGGCGTCCTTCTCCTCCTCCTCCTCCTTGCAGGAGCTCCGGGTGCGTCACTCGGGCAGAAACTTCCCTGCATTCCACCGTCATTCCTTGCTGGGACAACCGCGGGCAGGCACGCGGACGGAGCCGCTTCCTAGAGGGCTGGGAGACGGGAACAGGAGAAGGGGCCGAGCAGCAAAGCCAACCAATTCGCCCTGTTTAGACGATGGAAACGGGGAGCGCAGCAAGGACAAATGGTACCGCCGGCAAGCCAGAGGATGTGAAGAGCCCGTCCGCCCCCAAAAAAGATGAAGAAGTGAAGAAGAACTCGAACCCTGGTGGAGGGGAGAAGGAGCCAATGAAGGGCACTGGCGGTACTTCTCTGGAGACGGGGCAAATCAAGAGCTCCCTCTTCTCTGGGAGTGACTGGAAGAGGCCCATCATTCAGTTTGTGGAGTCGTCCGATGAGAAGAGATCGACCTACTTCAGCATGGACTCGGCAGACTCGAAGAAGATGCAGTACAGCAGCGGACAGATAGGAGACATGAGGAGACCCCCCCTCTCCTTCGCAGATAAAGGCGACCTCAGGAAGTCCCTCTTCTCCTTGGATTCCAAAAAGAGCTTCCTGCCTAACGAAGGGGAAGGGAGGAAGCCGCTGTTCTCCGGCGGGCAGATGGGGGACATGAAGAAGTCTTCCCTGCCTCTGGTGGAGACCGGGGACCTGAGAAGAGCCACCTTCAACAAGGTGCCCGACAGAGCAGCCGGGTCGCGGCCCAGGGTGAAGCTGGAGGATGTGCTGTGCGATTCCTGCATCGACAACAAGCAAAAGGCCGTGAAGTCCTGCTTGGTGTGCCAGGCTTCCTTCTGCGAGCTGCACCTCAAGCCCCACCTGGAGGGAGCGGCTTTCCGGGACCACCAGCTCCTGGACCCCATCAGGGACTTTGAAGCAAGAAAATGCCCTGTGCATGGGAAGACCATGGAGCTGTTCTGTCAGACAGACCAGATGTGCATCTGCTACCTCTGCATGTTCCAGGAGCACAAGAACCACAGCACGGTGACGGTGGAGATCGAGAAAGCGGGTAAAGAGGTAATGCTCTTTTCATTGCGTGTTCCCAGCGGCCTTTCCAACGGGTCTCAATGCTACACCTCGGCTTTTGTTCTCAAGCCTACGGTCTCCTAAAATCACGGTTCAGTGTAATTTTGGGATGGAAGGGTGGTGGATGGGGAGCGTTTGGTGGAGAAGTGATGTTGCATGGGTTCTGCTGCAATGGGACCGTCATTCATCTAAGACTGGTTCCAGCAGCATAGCCGTGGGGCTGAGCACCAGGTCATTAGGTGGGGTAGAGAACCTGGTTTCCATCCAGTTTCCAAAACTCTGCCTCAGGTTTTGACAGTGTTTGTGTAGCGTTGCCCCCAGCCAGCAAGGTGGGCACCGCTCAGGTTCAGGACCCCAAGAGTGCGACCAGTGGCGGCTCCGGTTTGCGGTTACTGCAGAAAATTGCAATCTCAGCTTCTTGGAGCGAGCTCCTGCTTTCTTGTTTGTCTTTTCTGTTATGGAGATAATGATGTTGAGCCCCACCTATGGGAAGAGCCTTTTGAAGCTTAGATGAAGAAAAAAACCTGGTGCAAACACAGAGCATTTTAATTTTCCCTGAAGTGTTACTACAATAGGTTCAGAAGATGGACATCTAAAGGGATGGGACTGGTATGGGAACCAGTGCTCACTAATGAGAAGTCTCCCACCTTTGTTTGCCTAAAGTCCCATGCTGTTTGCTTTCTGGGTGGATGTAAGATTATTCCACTAGCTTCAGTAAAGATCAGGGTCTCACCACAATTCGGTGCTGCACGCATCTGTAGCAAAAGCATGTCCTGGCCTGGAGACCTTCTGATGTCTCCAGACAGGACAGAAGAGATTACAGAAAGGAGCCCAATGAAACGGTAACATAAAACAATTTGCCTAGAGTCACACAACCAGCCCATGTCAGGAACTGGACAGGCACTGAGACCTGCTAAATCCCAGTCTTAATCACAGCCCAGGCAAGAGCTCTGATGTGGTAAACAGGCACATACAAGTAGCTGTGCGTGGAAATTCTGCAGTTACCCTGAACTCAGAGGAACAATTTAACTCTACAGTGCTAGGAAGATTTCACTCATGAGGCTGGGCTGGAGGAGCATCTTTTTCAGAGCTCTTCTCTGTCTTCCTGTGCACAATTTTTGGCTTGTTCTTCCAATGCCATCTCCACCTTGCAGCCTTATTGAAACCAGACAAGGCTTCTTCCATGTCTCAGACAGTCTCTCTTCAAGACGTTCCTGCAGGGGTTGTTAGCCCGCTGTTTGTTTCATGATTGTTTGTTCTCGTGTTTTGATGTCAGCTCGGAAATACTCCGCAGCGTATGCCTAACCTTCATAAAGCTGTGCCTAGTGTCTGCCAGGTTGTCCAATTCCTCTTGGCCCTTTCCTTTGAGAATTTAACAGCTGCTCCCTTGAGGAACCAAAGCTGGCCAGAGCCTTCTCCCTGTGTTTGGGTGGACCTACGACACCTTGCTTGTGAACAGGGAAGCAGATCTGGGCAGAGGAACCTTCACTGAGATTTAAATGGTGTTTGATCTGTCTCTCAGAGTATTTGCGTTACTCTCGCTAGGTCCACGCCTTTCCTGTGCTGATTCTGCTGCTGCTAAGCCTAGGGGATTTAGGGCTTTATCAATGAATCATAGACATGTGCAAGGAGTTGTGATCGTGTTGTAACCTGAGCGAGCATTCACTCAGACAAAAGCAATTCACAGGATAGCTGTTGCTTACAAATGTTTATTCCTAGCCCTGATGTATTCACCCTTGGTGAAGAATACAGCTCAGCAAGAACCACAAAGAGGAATGGGCATTTCCAAGGCCCTTGTGTGCACCACCTATCCCTTTTCAAGTCTTGCAAATCAGCTGAGCCAGAACGCAACCACAAATTGGAAGAGTGGCAAAGTGCGCCCGGTGCTGCTGCCTTTGTGGAAAGAATAAGCACAAACCCCACACCAGGTCAACCCCAGCCCTGCTGCGTTTTTGGCACCCAAGCAGCTCCAGGGGAGCTTTGCTGCCTCAATACTTGCTAGATGTAGCACTCGATTGGTGACCAGAACACAGCTCTGTACTTCCACCCAGTGCCAAGGAGCACCTGGCTTATCTGCAAGGATCTCCCAGTCCCTGGCCATACCGTGATGCCACACCTGGAGGGGATTCCTGCAGAACTGGGGGATTTCCATGCTGTGATGATCTGAAACTTGGCAGTTAGCCTGGATGCTTGGCAATTGGGTTGCAGAAGTGTCGTGTAGTATTTGTGCTCCTATTCCTTCCATATTGCTGAATTAATGCATATTACGGTGTCTTTCATGAATTTATCCCTGCTACAAGCCTGTAGCAAGGATATATAAATACTACTGTATTGTAGTGTCAGGTTTGCCCCACAATGCAGACAGACAGCCCAGCTTAAGAGGAGAGGAATGCAAACAAGCCAGCACGCAGTCACCCCCTGGTTAGGGCATTTAGGCAGGCAGTGCAAAGCGTGGGATCTCTGTCTGCACAGGGGGAGCACAGCAGCACCCCCCTCCAGAGGGTGAGAGCCCCTCGTGCCCTTCCTGGCGTGGTGCTGAGAAGCCAAGAGACAAAGGCACAAGGGGTCAGACAGAGACAACTGGGCACAGAGGATGGAGATTTATTTTCCGAGTTTCTATCCAGTGGTATTTGTTATTTTACAAAGGAAGAATTCAGTGCCTTCCCGAGATCCACTTTGCATTTATTTCCTGCTACAGATTTAAAGGATGAGTAATGACCCCCAGAATCAGCACAAGAAACGACCACAAAAAAATAAAAAATAAAAAAATCCTTGAGGCTGGGTAATAACCACACTCTACTGAGAAGTGAGAATTGTCAATAGCAGCTTGTACACTCAGATAAACCCCTCCGGCCAGCTTGATTTACCAGCAGAACTGGAGCCCCCCCTTGCAGACAGCATCCTTCATTTTGGAAGGGGATCCTTCATTCAGAACCTGTTTTACAGGCCTGTTCTCAGAAGGAGACAACTCCACGTATGCCTGCCAGCCACAGGGCTGCAAATAACCTGGCGTTACTCTCCATCGCCAGCCTCACTACTCAGCGTGTCGGGTCAGATCTAGCGAAAAGCACTTTGATTTTATTTTTTTTTTCCCCTTTAATTCTTTACCTTTAAAGAAAAGTTCACACCGTGCAGCAGGTTTAAAGAGGCAGCAGAGGACCGCTGGGCAGGAACGGGAGCTGGGTGTTCCTGGCTGCAACGGAGCCGCTTGTGAAAGGGGAGCCAACTTGTAAAAGGGGAGATTTCACAGGCTAAAGGAGGCTTTGAAGGCAACCATCCGCAGAGATGATGCAGGGGGGTTCCCATCTGGGCCTTCTTGGCATTGTTCTGGCTGAATATGCAGCACACAGGAGTGTGCTGATGTGTGGAAGGATTTTTGACCTTTCCCACTGATGGGAACGATTTCCCACTAGGGCACAGTGTGGCCACAAGACCTTATCTACACCAGCTGTGGCTGCTCTGCGGACACAGCTGAAAATAAATGCTCTTCCCACAGCAGCAGTGCGGCTACCTGCACGCCGTTCTGCCTGGCCTGGCAGAAAAATGTGATTTACAGTAAGCTTTGCCCATTTGTTGCATTAGTGCCTCTACAGTGGGAGCAGAAAGCAGGGAAAATCCGCCAGCTTGTGGGAAAGGAATCCTCCACCTCCTTCAAACTGTGCAAAGCAGAGAGCCTTTTACAGCCTCAAATAAGATGCTTACCACTGGCATTTTTGTAGGGTGTTGACAGAGTCTGCAGAAGTCACAGCCCACCGACACCTGCCTCTGCTTGACGCAAGCTTAGACTGAAAAACCTATGGCAAATCCAGCAGAAATCATCTCAAACAAGCAATTCACTAATTTCTCAGCCATGCCATTTCCAATATAAGCCCTGTACTGGGATAACTAGTTTAAACACTTCTTCCCTGGCTTCATTATTGCATTTGGCTGTTGCTGTCGGGTAATTACCATAGCTCTCCCAGGCTGGTGACACAGGGGTGTTTCCTGATTCAGGGACTGGGTTCCCAGAGCATTAAGACATGATGATGCTTGTATTGCTGCCTTGCAAAAATGAGTTGCATCATGATGCAAGAGTCATAATCTCACATCTCCAGGTCCTGTAGCACAAGGGCTGGGTTCAGCTGTGGATGTTTAGGTGTACATTCTGAACTTTCACTTAGGCCTCATGACTGTCCTAATTAATTTAGGCTGTAGCAGGGGATCCTCTCTTAGCTCCAAGACTCTCAGTGCCAGCATTTCTCAGCTTGCTGGAGTCAAACTTAATGGTTTAAATGTGTATTTCCTAGATCTTTTTCTCTGCTATTTTTATTTCTGCGCTGTAGTGACCTCTCCAAAGATAGGTGCAGCTCCTATATAAAATTTCACTAGGAACTTCTAAACCTGAGTCTCACACAATGGGGTGGGGAGATGTAGCGGGGGATTGGGGACTATGGGCCCTAGAAAATCTGAGAGACCCTACTGTAAATCAATCTGCCATCCCACCTTAGATCAAACAGGGCCTAAAACCATCATGAAATCATCTTTGCTGAATGCCTGGCTGTGCTCTGTCTCTCCTTACCGAATCTGCCTCCATGCCACCAGTTCCTGTACTAGTCCATAGTCTCCCTGGACCTCTTCTTCATGTTTTCTTTTTTTTTTTTTTTTCTTTTTCCTGGTAATTTTGGTAAGAGTAGTTCTTGTGTTTGGGCCATCATGCAATGGAGAGCCTCCCTTCATCTCCCCTGCCTTGCCTGGTGTCTGTACTAGTATTTCCTTTTGCCCTCATTATGGGTGTTTTAACCCAAGCTGAACTTGGATGACTGTGAGATTTGCATTCTGGCTATTGGAACTATCTCTGTAATTTCCATTTGCAAATCATAATTCTTACTTTAAATTGTAGTGTGGGGCTGATCTTAAATAGTTGTTACATCCCATCCCAGAGGCACCCAAACTACCTTTCTGGGTGAAGGGGTATTATAACTCCAACAAGCTGTTAAGAGTTAGCTACCACTTTTGAGCAAGTAATAGTTTGCAAAATTCCTTTGAGACCCGTCTTAATTAAAAAGTACCATAAAGAGTATAATATTGTTATCACCACCTTACAGCCAGCATCTGGAAAATTTTCCAGTGACATTTCCTTTCAAATTTGTTGTGATTAGGAACGTCGATGTGGCTGTGAAATGTCTGCCCTTCTCAAAAGAAAACTTCAGCCCCTCTCTATCTTATTTCATTCACAGTTTTGTCATGAGAATATCCTGATAGTTAGGGACAAGGAGGGGAACAAGTCCTTCTATTGCTTAGGAGACTTCTTTTTACTTTGCAAACAATGAAAGTAATCTGGATGTAGCTCTGTGGCTCAAGGGAAGAGCTTGCATTGTAAGATCTCAGATTGGTTACTGGAGTGGGATGGATATCTGGATCTGAAGTGCTTTTATCTCATCACATTTCCCTGCCATGCAGAGATGGTTGCACACTTTTTTGTCTTGCTGCAGCACACATGTGAATGGACACAAGCATGCATTCCTTTGAGTCACTGTCTTGAAAATGTGGAGAGTGCAGGGTCAAGCTCATGCCATTACTTTCTTGATAAGTAGTAGAGCAAATTTTCTTATTTTGATATCCACATGGCTCTCTTATGAATCTGTGCTGTGAAACCCTCCCATGTCTGTCCCAAATCCCTGTAGAATATGACCTCATGGCTGCATAGAGTTGGCTACCGTAGGCTGTCAAGGTGTATGGTCTCCTAACTCTCCACAAAGAAGGGCAATTACAATGAGGGTATAAGGATGCAGCTCTCCTGGCACTGAGATACCTTTGAGTGCATTTACCCTTTTTGTTTGCCCTTTCTGCTCTTTTATAGGGCAATACAACCACCACCAAACTGTTTTCCCTCTATAAATAGAGATTTTCTAAATTGGAACAGCTAGAGAGAATGGCTCTCAGCTGCAGCTGTGCTTGATTCAAGCTCAAGAGGATGTTCAGACACCGGGGTGATTGGCACCAAGACAAGAGCCTTGATGGGCTGATTTCCCTGGCCTGAGCTGGCTGACACTGCGTTGCCTGCTCCTCACGGCGCGATGCTCCTTTCTCCTCCTTGAATGAAGGAGTGAAAACTTTTTAACTCCCACCCCTGAGGGCAAACATGATCAGGAGAGGAGACCCAGGTTTTCATGTTGTATTATGTTCCTGGACTGGTGGCAAAGCAGTGGGAGCTACGCCTTGTGCTTCAACAGCAGAGACCTCACTGTGTTAGCTGCTGGGTTCATCCACCCCTCATCTCCCCTGCCTTAACTTTTGGCCTAATATAAGTGCTTTTGGATAATGCAGGCATTTACCAAAGGATCTCACACGTACCGTGGGTTTTCAGAGACTTTCTGATATGCCTCATCTCCACTGTGGAATACATGGCTCCTCAAGAGCTCTGGGGATGTGTGGCACAGCCAGACTGCCCGTAGTTACCCTCGTGCTGCGATCAACCACACACGAAACACGGAAAGATCTCGAGACACGTAAACAAAGGCTCTGGCATGATCTGCTGGGCAGGGAGGTGGTGAAAAGCAGTGATGGAGGGAGGGGCTGCTGGAGGTAACGGCGCGAGGCTGAGCTCAGCAGCCGGGTGCTGATCCAGAGGTGCACGGCAGCCCTGGGCTCCAGCTCCACGAACCCTCTCCCATGTCTGGGCCATGCTTCCCTGGGAAGGCAGTGCAAAACAAAATGCAAATGAACCCCAGTGAAGTTGCTGATCTAAGCCAAGCATGGTTGACTACGCCTCCTCTCCCCTTCCTTTTGTGTTTTTTTTTTTTCTTTTCTTATATATATTTTTTTTTCCAAGCATTCCCCAGCTTCATCATAACATGAAAGCTCTCAATTCAGAGCAAATTAATCCACAATCCTGTCTAAACAGAATTCCTGCCGGAGGCATCGTCCTCTTGTTGCAACACTCGTCAAACGTCATTCCGTAATTACATGAAAACTGTTATTGCTGCAGAGGCACACCCTGGGATGGGCCCTTCGCTGCACACACAGCTGAATTTTGAAACAGGCCTCTTCTCCCTCCAGCTAATGACTCTAAAGTGATTAAAAGCAGCTCCATGACAGTAGCCGGGTAGGTGGGTGCTTCTGCTGCTGGCTTTGCTGAGGGAACTGAACCTCTTGACCCAGGCAGGAGCTCTGGGATGGTGTCCACAGTCAGCACCTGGTCTCAAGCAGTGCCAGGAGCCCACACCTCCCAGCCACTGCTGCTCAGGGCCGGGTGCTCGGTGGGAGCACAGCACCCCTTAGAAGCAGGCCACCCTCTGCCCCTGCTCATGAGACTCCCTTCTTCTCGCAGGCTGAGCTTTCACTGCAGAAAGAGCAACTGCAGCTGAAGATCATCGAGGTAGAGGATGAAATGGACAAGTGGCAGAAGGAGAGGGACCGCATCAAGGTGTGTATGGGATATTAAGTCCGCTTCTCTGTTTCTCCTGTCCTCAATGTCTCTGACATACCCAGCTCTTACTCACTCCATTCCTCACCTAGTCCCTACCTCGTCGCTCTCCCAAACTCCCTCACTCCAAGTCTTGGAAACAACAGCTCCTGCTGAGCTCATCCTGCAACACACCCAGCAGGAGACCAAGAGGCGGCAGCACAGCCTCCTTACAGAGTCACCCGGGACACATCCCTGCTTGGGTTCCCACAGCTCTCCCATCACCTGTAGCCAGGCTGATTCAGAAACAAAGGTGTGCTGCTTCTTTCTTACCAGCTCACCTACAAAAATCAACTCCAGAAGGGCTCCGGATTGCCCAGGCAGAGATAAGGCAACAGAAATAGATGCAGTTACACCAGCGTTTGTCTTGTTTATAATGGAATAGCTCATTTCCGTACTGACGGAGGGCTTCTTTATAATCCTTTCAACCACACGAAGGGTTAGAATATAGTAATGGTGTTTTTCTTTTTCATTTACACCCTAACTGAATAGAGCAGTGAAAACACTATTTGGAGACACCCCAGAGAATTTGCATAATATTAATAGGCAAAGCCGTTCTTCTCCCTTTCATGTGGTGCACACACACTGGCTTGCCAGTTCTGCTTTTCGTCTGCTTTATTATTATTATTATTACTACTCCTATTATTATTATGGGAAATATGACCTAGAAATTTTAGCTCTGAATATAGTTACCTCCACAGTCACTCTGAGGAATATTTCAGAGGGACGTGGAGATCAGGTTTGTAGAAAGTGCTTCGGCACTTTTCCTCCATTGGAATGGAAGGAAATTTCATCCGTAAATCCTTGAGGAGCCAGAGCCATGATTTAGAAGGTTAAACATTTTTTTTTACATATAAACATATATAAACACATATTTTTTACACCTACGAGTGCAGTTCATGAATTGAAGAGATATGCTCTTATAACGAGCATGCACTACAGCATGCACTGTAGATTATATATATACACAATTATTGCAAGAATTAACATTATTTATTTCAGCACAGCTTTCTGGTGTTAAGACTTGCATATCCAGAGTCTCCATATTCACTGTCTTGGGTGCTGAGAATGCCAGGACACATCCCCCTTTGCATCCCCCTGTTAGCAAGTGTCTCCCTATGAAGTTTCACATCTCATTTCTCTTGCCCTCTCCCACATCTCTTCTGCTGCCCCCTTCTCCGACCCTTTCCCCCTGCAGAACTACACCACCAACGAGAAAGCCACAGTAGACCAGCATTTCAAAGAGCTGATCCGTGACCTGGAGAGGCAGAGGGATGAAGTGAAGGCTGCCCTGGACCAGAGGGAAAAGATTGCATCAGAGAACGTGAAGGAGATTGTGGATGAGCTGGAAGAGAGGGCGAAGCTGCTGCGGGAGGACAAGGAGAACAGGGAGCAGATCCACCAGATCAGTGACTCCGTGCTCTTCCTCCAGGTCAGAAACACCTCATTTGCCTTCCCTTTTCCCATGAGGGTGGGATTTGTCCCAAAGACAAAGCCCCATTTGGTGTAAGAAGCATCAATCTTCTCCAGTTCAATGCACATGGATGTCAGGAACTGGCCCTGACATTTCAAGCATGCCTGCTCTGGTAGGTGAAGAATGAACTTAGAGGCATGCCAACGCCTCATATTTCTTCTCATATTTCTTTGTCTTTTTCCTTTTATTTATTTATATATATATTTTTTTTGTGGCTAAAGCTCAGAGTCAAAACATTTGACTGCTCCACCCTCAGTCTTCACTATTCTCCTTTGCACTTCATATTATTTGGAGCCAGTCTCAGGATCTAGCCTCTGCATATCTTGTATTCCTCAGTAACATCCCTCCCTTTCTTTTTGGCAGGAGTTTGGGGCTTTGATGCGGAACTATGTCCCCCCTCCATCCCTCCCGACATACAGCGTGCTGCTTGAAGGGGAGAGCATGAGCCCCTCTATGGGGCTGCTCAGAGATGACCTCCTCAACGTCTGCATGAGGCACGTGGAGAAGATCTGCAAGGCAGACCTGGGCCGCAACTTCATCGAGAGGAACCACATGGAGAACGGTAAAGTATCCAAAGTACCCCAAACTGCCCCATCCCTCCCTGGACAGAGCCATAGGTAGGGATGGAGCCAGCTGTCCTGCCATGGAGTTAAAGCACCTCATGTGTAGGGGACCACGGGATCCCAACCAACATCAAGACAATGCAGTAGCTCACTACATAAATAGAGAAGGCAGGATTGATTTTATATATATATATATAAAATCGAATCTATCTAAATCTATTGTCCATCTCAGCTACCATATTTGCTGTGCTGCTACCACATATCATTTTACAACAGAAAGTTTCAGCCTGAAACATGAAATGTCCCACAAGCACCTGTTACTGAAAGTCTCGTAACAGTTTTTTTTCTAGTGAAAAAGTCTCCATTTTGGTTAAGCTAGGTGTTGAAGAGGCAGAGCTCTCTGATCACAGCTCCACAGGTCCCACTGGGCAGAGCTTTGCTTCCTACAAACACAGGGTGCCCAACGGGTCCTGCATTTCAGCAGTGTTTAGGGCTGAGTAATCTTTCTTATGTAAATAGAGAGGGCAGGGTCAATACCACAGCACTGCAAGGAATCTTCTGAGCCTTTGAACCCACTTTCTATCTGTCTCCTCCGGTTAGTTCTGCCTCTTCCAGTTAGCTCTGCAGAGAGGACTTGTGAATCACAAAGCCCCCACGTAGGACAGAAGGACGGAGCACCAGACCAGGACCCCACAACCACAGTTCACTTCCCAGCTGTCCCAAAAACGGCCTTTGTAACCTTGGGCGAGTTACTTAATCCTATTGAATGACCTCTTGCACTAAAGAATAATAGGGATGGAAATAAAGCCTTATCTCACCGGGCTGCTATGAGGATATAGCCTATTAATAATTGTGGAACCTCAGATAGCAGAGCAATAAAGGTCAAGAAGCTGGATAGGTAACCCGAGGGTAAATTGCACCCTGCTGTCCAGATATGACTCAAAAAGATGCAAGAATAGCTTTCAAGTCCATTTTATACTGCACCAGCAGCTGAGGAACTCTGCTGCAAACCTGTGAGATCACTGTTATTTCATTCCAATTCACAGCACTCATTAAACAATCCTCTACTATTAATACAGCACATTTTTCCTGGGCAGCGGTCATGCAAATCTGTCCAACTTCCAGAAAAGATAGATGCACATTACAAGATAATACAATAAATGAGGAGAGGAAGAAATAACTGAGGGGAAAAAAAAAAAAAAAAAAGAGAGAGAGAAAAAAAAAAAAACATCTATGAAATAGATGCACACAGATCAGAACAACACAGGACCCATTACTGGAGAACAAACAACATTTTTCAGAGCCTGGGTTCTGTGAACCAGCCTGTCTGACATTCGCAATTTATAGCAGTAGGAATGAAGGTGACATGGCCCAGAGTACATGTGAACGTGTAATGAAAATCACAGGTATTCATCAGGCGACAGCGTGCTGCCTTCCTACAGTACGGAGAGAAAGAGCGAGTCCCTGGCCCCAAGGAGCCTGCACTGCGAACAGCTCATTAACATTTACCTAACACCATCGTTTTCCATTAGACATGAATGAGATAGACAAGGTATTTTTGGTCCATAGAACCAATGTTTGAGAAAAGTCAGGAGTCCCATTCAAAGTGCTGAGGTTGCATAGCTGGAGCCAGCTTTTTAAAGTCCCATACACTTAAACAGGAGCAGAAATTGAACATCACTTCTTTTCCAGCACTTACCACTGCCGTGCTGGTCAAATTCTTACATTGACCAAATTCTTACATGGTCAAATTCTCAACACTTTGTATGCTAAGGTTTGCTGAGAAATATGGCCCTAACTTAATACATGTAGATGGAAGAAAATGATCCCAAAATCATTTTTGTACACTTTTCTTTCTTCTCCTTTGTTCACTTGGACTTTCGCAGAATTTCCAAACTCCCCAACTACTCACAGCACTTCTGAAGGTTAGGCAACAACACATTGCAGTCAAAGATTTTTGCTAATCCTGAAGCAAATATACTTTACTTGGCCATTTGTACAACCCAAGAGTATGCATATGTTCAGTTCCAGCAGCTCTAGATAAAGGCTGGCTACCTCCTGATCAGTTGATCACTTTTAATTAGGTTCCCCTCCATGTTACTGATGCTGAAATCCTCAATGGCACTTGAAATCCGTGGGAATCAAGTGCCAAAGCACTTCTGAGCAGGGCAACACTTTACCACTGCCAGAAACCTGGGCGCTTTCAGAAACTTTATGGGGGATTTAATGGACACAGCTTGGAGTCTGCCTAATGAGAAGAACAGTGGCATCCACTCAGCTGGGAAATGTTATTTAAGGTGCAGCTCCAAAACTTCGCAGCTCTCCGTTTTTCAAACCACAGTTACACTTGAAAGAGGACAGCACTCGGCATCTAGTGACTGCAAGGAAATAACTCCACAATTACTTAATGGATTTAATTAACTCAGACTCCCCCTGAGTCACTGCAACAAATTCATTTGCAGCCAGCTTGATCTTCTAGTGTAAAAAAAAATCCCAGGAAGAAATATTATATTAATGGAATGAAACCTGCTTAATAGCAGACTCCAAAGGGAATCCACTTTCTTTCAGTTGTCATAACAGGTACCTACTTAGTAGTGTGGCAAGGAGGCAAATAATCAGAGAGCATCCAGGGAGTTTAAATAGCACAGAAATAAATTGCAGAAATAACATAAAAGTTTGTTCAGTGACTTAAGATTCTAACAATTGAACTATCTAAGTGTGGGAACCAAATTTACAGAGAAGTTGCAGAGAACAACAGGTTTATAGAAGACTTGAGGACTTAATATATATATGTGTGTGTGTGTATATATATATATATATATATATATATATATATATATATATATGTATATATTTATAATTTTTTTTCTGAGCAAGTGACCTGAAAGAGCATCATTTCTTGTGGATCATTCTCAGAGAACCAAAACCAGGCTGTGCAAATGCCTGGCAAAAGGGTAGGATTCATTCACTTTGAATGAAGCTCGAACCAAACATCCTTGTCTGAAAGCCCAGGAAGCTGGAGCTGTTTGCAGCTCAGGTTTAGCATCTTTAAAACTCGGACAAACCAACGCACTGAGCCCTCCCAGCACTCTGATTTTCTCCAGCCTTGCATTACTTGCAGTTCCAGACGGGCTGGTTGAGAGCCAGCTCCGTGCACAGGCTGAGCACACAAAAGCAGCCAAACCCAAACCAGCACCTTTGAAGTGGGATCCAATTTTAGCCACGGAGCAGTCCTTTGGTCGGAAAACGCCTCAGCCCTGGAGTGTCCCTGTGGATGCTCAGGAGATAGCGTATCTCGGCGGAAGGGCTGTTCCTCCGCTCTTCACACTTCAGCTGTGCTAAACCTCTTTTATCCCAGAATTTTGGGCAGCCAGCTCATTTTGGGGCAGCTCGACCTGGCAGCCAGCAAGTCCTAGGGCAAAGTTACAAAGACAGAATTACAAGGGTAGAGCAATTTCTTTCCAAGGGGCGCCACCACCTCTCCCTCCATGCTTGAGGACACATTTCCAGCCTGTTGTCCCCTTCCCCTCCTGCTGTCCCTCTCAAGGCCACTCAGCTCCTGCTCTGCTCCCGCAGGCGACCACCGGTTCATGATGAACAACTACGAGTGGAACCAACCCGACAACTTGAAGAGATTTTCCATGTTCCTGTCTCCCAAAGGTAAGGCAGCCCAATGGTGGCCAGCTTTCTTCCGAGCTCAGCATAGGAAAGGAATTTCATTAGTGATTTGTCCCAAAATTTGGTTTCCTTCACTTATTTCAATGCTCCCTCTGGACTGGACCACGATCGGTCCCCCTGCATTTGTTTATGCCAGGTCTTGCCTCCAGCTTACAAAGCTTTGAGCCGTTTTTGCCTTTCCATCTCAAACAAGGCAGCAAAGGCTCTTAGCAGGAGAGCTGGAACAACTGAACTCATTCAGGAGGGAAGTTTGTGAAGACAGGGGAGTTTTAACACGCGTTATCAGGTCGAAGTAAGCATTAACCTCCACCAGAAGCTCACCCCTGTGTGCTATCAAATGTGAAAGCTACACCAGGCTTTATCTGAGCTCAGATTTTACTTTCACCAGAAAACATTTTTTTTTTTTCCTGGCAGGGAAAGGATGCAAGAAGTGAGTAATGTGTCCTAAAAAAGCAGGAGGTTGGGGTTCTTTTCTGACTTCTTACACTGACAACAAGAGCCCTTGAGATTTGCTTATGGCCCCGCTGTTGCCTGAACACTCCCAGATGAGCGAATGCCCCTTTTCAACACATTCAGTTGTAAAATGGCAGCTGTCTACTTCCAAATTAGCATCAGGACCTCCAGAGTGAGAAGCACAGAGTGATACAGCCCTAGGCAAAGCAGCGCCTGTGTTACCGACAGAGCAGAAAGCACGGCACAAAATCAGTGACCACATTTCCTCTGGTCCCTGGCGAGCGAGGCCCCACCTGGGTTTGCTCCCGGTGCCTGCAGCTGCTGCTCTGAACAACCAGATCATGGCAGGGTGAACTGAAATGCCTGCAATTAGTGGTGGCACCCCTCAAAGGCACGTGTGGGGTGTGATATGGCCTCTGCCAACAGTAGGGTTTTGTGGGGAGAGCCCAGATCCCATTCTCCGTTAGCAGCCCACGGCCAGCAGCTTGCGGGCAACCCTGCCTGGTGCCATGGGGACACGGAGCAGATCCTGGTTAAATTATCAAAATTCAGATTGTCACGTGTGTCTGGGACAAGGCTGAAACCCGACATGCTGAGAGGAGGAGGAAACCATTTGCAGTAGTGCCATGGTTCAGCCAGGCTGCTCGCTGCTCTGGGCCATGGTGCCCAAATTCCCCTCTGCTCCTCTCCAGAGGGTGAGCTGCTGAGATCCATGACCGATCCCCAGTTGGGACCCAGCATCCCAGCCTCCCAAAGGACTGACCACGAGACTGGGGAAATCAGCGAGGACTGCTGGATATGGGGTTTATTATTTCATGTTATCAGAGCCAGTGGAGCCACTTTCTGGATGCAGACAGCTGCAGAGGTGTGTGAGCGCTGCACACTGGCTAGGAGCTCCGTGACCCATCGCTTCCTGCAATGGGCTTTTGAATATACAAATGCTGGGGGAGCATTTGTTCCACCCACACACCTACATTGTCCTGAGAGCAGCCACATTTTGCTTCCCAAAGCTGCTCGTCCTCTATTTGTTACCGATCGAGTTACTTCACCCAAAAAAACAAAGCATGTGATTGCACACAAAGTCCCTCCCTGCTGAAATGGGGACTGAGCAGGGCTGGGCTCTCCACCAGGGTGAGGGTGCAAAAATGATCCCTTATGGGAACACGGTGATGGAAAGGAACCAGCTGCTCCAACCACACTGATGGGGACTTTGGCAACAGAATGAGTCAGTAGGCAAAACAGGAGACATGACCCACTTAAGCCTGTATGCTGGCTAGCAAAGGATTATCTGATGAATAATGCACTGTAGCCATAATCATTTAACCCTCTAGGGCTTTCTGTCCCCTAGCAGTGTCTTGTGTAGAAGTCCAGAAATGCTTTCGATTGCATTTTTTCTAAGGAATTCCATAAAATGGAAGAAAAAAAAAAAATGAGGGCCCCCTCCACCCTTTGTATTGCACAATGTGCACAGAATCCTTGAATATCTCGTGATGGTTTTCTAACACGCCCTTTTTCTTGCTGGGTTGGATCAGTGCAAGTCCTGCCGTAGGCCACAGCAGCACGTCTGCTTGCTGTGCTGAGGAATGCTACCCGAGCAGAGCTCGGTGCTAATTGCAGTGGCCCACACCAAGAAACTGCTTGGACTTGAGCTGACCCTGTAGGTCTTTAAGTCCTGCTTAAATTTAAGGAGCCTTCCACTGCTCTTGTCGTTAAAGACAATATCACAGAGCATCCATCATCTGCAGTGATGACAAAATGAGGCATAGGGGAGACATAAAGGGCTTCTTAACGCTGCCTAAAATTTAGGGGAACAAACTGCTCGACGCTCCTTTCTGTCCTCTTCTGGTGAGCTTTCTTCTCCTGACATTGCAAACATTTTGGCCAAAGCCAGAGGAAGGTTGGAAAGATCACGTTGTGCCTTTGCAGGTCTTTAAATAAGCAGGAGGGACTCGGTGCATAGGAAGGGAGAGGTAACTGCTTCAACAGAAACCTTGCTGAACTAGAAACGCAGACCACAGGATGGCAGCAAAACAGCTCACAGCATTCATCACGTTTTTTGCTCCTCTGGGAGTCTGATGTCTCACAAGAGGGGTACAGCAGCACTAGGCTGCATCACGGCGTGCAGCCCTGCAGCACACGCCTGTCTCAGAGGCTGAGAGTTCACGTGAGCAAGAAACGTTCCTCTGCTGGTGCCTCTCGTGCTCTAAATCCAAGCCTCTGCCTGCAGGTCTCTCTGCCAAAGAGTCATGTCGAGTAGGCAAACTGAAGTTGGCAATTTAATGTGGCTAAAGGCAGCTCTGCAGCACTGAGGATTTTGTTCTGTGAGTGCTGCAAAGTCCTGCTCAGCAGCCCCTAAAATGTAGAGAAAAAGCTCAGGCTTTCCTCCCCGAACCCGGACTTCTGCTTTGGGGCTGCTTCCAAAACGGTGGGGACTGTTTCAGAGAGCAACGCCAGGCACAGGCCTTGGAGCCAGCTCACCAGGAGCCGACTGCTGAACTGGATGCTCTTGTTTTACAGCCAGTTTCAACCCACGATCATGGGAATTTTCCTCCTTCCAAGCGACTGAGGAAACACTTGGTACGGGTAATTCCGCCTTCAGTTTGAAAGGATCTAACCCCCCGTGCCACAGCTTTCCAGCTGGCTAACCGACCTCTGCTTCCCCTCTCAGCTGTCCTGTCACTGTCCCAAAAAGCCATCTGGGGTCAGCAGCGCCTGCCTGCGCACACCCAGCACCCAGGTCTCGCTGCTCTAGGCACTGCCTGTATAGGAGGGGCGGGTAGCACCGGTCCTCCTTGTTCAAACAGTGAAAAGAAGATGGAAAAAAGAGTTTGTAAAGCCCCTGAGACACCTACCCAGCTGCGACACGAGTGCCAACACCAACTTGTCCGAGGCGAGCTGCAGAGCTGGGGGCAGGAACTGGAGCTGACTGTGGCTCCCCCCAGGCAGTTTAAGAAGCACAAGGCTGCTCTTCTCCCTCTCACATACACTTTTCATGTAGCTCATAAGCTCTCAGAGCTGTGGCCTGCCCCCTGTTCAGCACCAGCACGATGGGGAGGGGATGTTCAGTGGTAGCACGGTGCAGACCAGCAGCAGCGAGTCGTGCTTTCTCTGCCCAGCTCCCCACCTTCCCTTTTCTCTCCCGTCTTTTCTTTGCTTTTTCACACTCCTGCCTTCATTCACTGGCAGCCCACGAGCATCCGTGGCCACTCAGCCCGAGCTGGGGCAGCTCTCGTGGCTCACAGCCTCAGCTGAGCCCTCCCCTGCTCCCCGTGTCACAGGCAGGGCTCTCTCCCTCTCATCGCCTCTGCTCTCAGACTCCTTTTGGCAGCCAGGGCCTGACCCCAAGTTGGCCAGGAGAGGAAGCCTTGCTTTAATTTCACCAGGGCTTTGAATAAGGCTCAAGTGCTTCGGCAGCCATGTAGTTTGGCCTCGCTACCCCAGTTCCTGGAGATGCAATTTTCCTGCAAGGAAGCTCTTCGGTCACACCTGCACTCTGGGTCTCACGAGAGAAAAGCTCTTCCCTCCCTGCCCGGAGCACTGGGACCTCTTCACACTCACACACCGGTGTACACCAGGGACCCCACCACTCTCATCTGCTTTTTCTTAAGGAAAAGACCAGGGACAAAGCCACCAGTTCCCATTTCCCCCCAGGCTGGCTGGAGGTAGTTTTACAGGGTGTGTTTTGAAGTGCTTAGGCTTCCCCAGTGCAGCACGCAGCGCCGTGGAATAACAAAACCTCTTCTATCTTCCAGTAGGCAATGGCACTAAGCTGCCTTTTCAGTTCTCCTCGGTGGGACAGAATCCGCCCGGTGACTTCAGCAAACAGTCTGATGGGAGCCTCTTCACTAAGACCGGTACTAGGCATTTGGTTTTTCCCCTCCTTCCTCCTGCTCCTCGTTTAGGTGATAAGGAATTTAACATAAATTCCTCCCGCGAGGGGGCCTGGAGCAGTCCTGCAGCTGGCCCACCTCTCCTGCCCGGGCTGTCAGCCTCTCAGATGAGCACCACACAGCCCTGAACCAGGGCAAAAGGACTTTGCTAAAGTGTGGTTTTATCTAGGGAGTAGTTGGAGGGGGTTTTAATTTTGTTTGCAAGGCGTAGAGATGAGAATTTAGATGATTTTAGATGCATAGGAACCAGGGAGAGAGGAACACCAGAACATGAGATTAATTTCCTTTACCCCCTAGCTTCATCAGGGTTTCAAAACAGCTATTACCCTAAAATAATAACAGCCATGGAGCACAACCTTTAAAAAAAACATGTGCTAGCTGCCAATCCTCCTTCATCTGAACCAGGGTCCCCCATCCGCTGCCTCCTAATCCTCTTTCTGCACTGCCAACTAGTTCAAGGGCACCAAGGGTTGAATCCTAGAGCATCAGCACCTGCCAAGCAGAGTCAGGCCCGATTAATTTGCAGCTGGGAGGTGGTGGGGAAAGCCCAAAGCCCATCACCCGGCAGTGCTGCAGCGGGTTGTGATGCAGCAGGGCTGCTATTAGTCCTGAATCAGAGCTGAGCTGGTGCAGCAGGAGGGGGCTAGGGCTTATCGCACTGCCAGAGGTACTGTCATTAATTTCTGACATGAAACCCAGGCCGCGGCTCTTGGCACTAATTAAATAGCCTATAGTGCTCTTCGCAGCAGTCAGAGTGCTGAGTTCAGGACTTGGCCTAAATTTAATTGGACTGATTGCATTCCGCCTCCCTGCATTCCTCAGACATTTTAATTAGCCAGCCCTTCTTCACTCCCTTCTCCCAACCGGCTGGGCGGTGGAGCAGGCCCCTGTCCGATGGCTGTTGTGTCCTACCCCAGGACCGGCTGCATTTCCATGCCAAGCAGTGCAATACTAATTACGTGGCACGTCCAGTCCTGCTGCTTGCCTCGATGCTTGCGAGGGGAGGCGGGGATGGTGTCAGGGAGCCACCTGTAACAGGCTCTTTTCTGTTGTCACAGCTTATCCCTCGATAGTGAGACATCAGTCTGCAAAGGTGACGCCACAGACGTGGAAATCCTCCAAGCAGTCTGTGTTGGTAAGAAACATTTCCTTGGTGTGAAAGCACGTGCGCAGCTTCAGCAAGAGAAATACCTGTCCTCAGGATACCTGAGGCTCCAGGGACCAGGGCTGGGGTCCTTTGGAAATGGGAACAGCTTCTGCTGTTTTTCCTGTGGTTAGCTGCATCCAGACAGGGATACAGATTAATCCCCCTGCCACCACAGCTCTGGGTCGTAGGAATAATCGATATTTCAAAATGACATTTTGAAAGGATTTTGCCCTGGTCTAGAATTTGATCCCGGCTTCCAAAAGCTCTACAAATATTACAGCAGACATGTTGGGATCTGCAGAACTTTCCCTCCCTGCGTGGATATTGTGTACTCTTAGTGGTCTGTGATATCTTGAAAACACAAATTGTGTAACGCCGCAGATAACCATATAAAAGGATCATACTAATTACATCCCACGGCGAGCTGACAATATCAAAGATGAGAGGTCAGACAGTGATGATAAATCACCAGAACAGTTACAAATCACTCATTTTCCACGGCTACCACAAAACAGGTAACAGTACACTACGAGGGCCAGCGTACAGTAGTATTTTAGGTCCTCTATTCTCACATGCACACAGTTAACAGATAATCAATGCACAGCCACATAAGTTCATCCACTTGTTCGTAACATCCCTTTGCACCGTGATGCATTAAGATCTTGCATGATCTGAATTAAGATGATCGAGATTTTGCCCTCATCTCCACAGCTGAGATCTATTTTTTGAATTCTCATTATACATTTGTGAAAGATTATTTACTGCTCCCTGGAAATAGGACTTGTAAGAAGGAGAGGGTCAAGAATTGATGGCATTCTCGTGCTGGAGGAAGAAAACAGAGAAAATACACGGCAGTTAGCAAGTGGCTGCTCAAGGACTGCAGCTCTATGTCTGCTAAATTTAAAAGGCCCCTCCAGCAGATGAATGCCAGCGACAGGGATGTTCCTGGACAGCCTGGAGCAGGTTCAGAAAATCCAGCCTTGAGTCTTTGAGTGTGTGACAGCAAAGCATATCTCCTAGGAACAGCACTTTGTTGCAGTATCTCCTCTGTCTTGTGTTTGCTCCCCACCTTTGTAAAAGAGCCACTGCTTCACGGTGTGTGTGCCCAGATGGAGATCCCATCCTGAGATTTTAGATGCCAGCCTGTCCTCCCTAACGGGGCTGTTACACTGGGAAATCTGATCGGGAAAGTCAAGTTTCTATTACCATTGGTATCTGGTGGCTGTGAGTATGGTCTCCCTAGCAAAAATCACCACACTGCCTGGCAATGAGCGTGCTGTGCTCTGTGAACACAACCCGAATTTGCCTTAACCCCCCCCAGAGAAAGCCTGGCTAACTTCTCCACAACGTCACTGGCCTTTTTGTCCCTCTCATGCATACACTTGTAGTGGCCATTTTATTTTTATAGCCTCTATTCACCAGATATCCCTGAACCTAACAATTGAGTTGATAAATACGAGCATTAAAAAGTCCCAAAATAGAAATATACACTCCAGGCTGCAGGAGCTCTGCAGGAGCTTTTATGGCCTATTGGGCCAATAATCTAGCTTTAAAAATAGTCTTAAACATGTATTTAAGCAATACACACTCTAAAAGGTCTGTAAATATGATTTTTTACAAAGGACTGTGCTGTATAAGGAGGCAATGTCTTTTTAGCCCACAGGGAGTTCTTTAAAATGAAGCCCCCACCTCCCTTGCATCTCTTAATTAGATTGGAAATCGAAGCCATAAAATGAAAAGAATCTCACCAAAATGGAGCGTTGAGCAGGAGGTACTGGGAGTCAGCACCGAGCAGCAGGGTGGGTTGGATTTGCTCTGCCCATGCCTCCAGGCTCCTGCCATGCCCAGCATTAACTGGTGCACTGCACCCAGCCATACGGACACCTCCTGCAAGTGAGATCCAGGCAGGAGATCAAACCTAAGGCAGAGCAGATGCTGCAACACCGAGGTGCTTCCTCACTGCCTTGTCTACCACCGGTGGAAGCACATCCTCATTTTCACAGATGTTTTGAGATGTTTTGGTGCTTCTCAAGGGCAGTGTCCAAGGCAGCATTTTTCTGAGTTGTTTCTCGGAGGAGCAACACGGGTTAATCCTCGAGTTTAAAGCACTGCAATGCAGGGGACAACAAAGATGACGGGAGGAATCGGTTGATTGCCCCAGTATTGGTAGATCCAGGCTAAAGATTTCACCTTGAACGGTGCAAACAACAAGCACTGTTAGCTAATAAAGGAGTTTTTGTGCTCTGCAGTCATCCCCAGCCAACACCAGGCTGTACAACACACCTCTGCCACGTGTTGCTTATTTGTAATGGTGCAGATAAGCATGAAATTCCTGGGGTAGGTCCTGATGAGAAGACAGACAGCTAGGGATTGTGGTAAATAGAGCTGGAGAGACAGGAAAATGGCAATTCCTCCAGGCTCTGCCCTTGTGTCTCCTCCGCTTATGCTCCTGTTTACACAAACATTTATGCAGGGCCCCGCAACATGTGGAGGTGCAAATAAACAATGCACCATTGTGTGCGAATTTCCATGCACAGGAATTCTGGCTCTCCAGCCTGGGAGCACAAATAAACACCGTGCAAGCCAGTCCATCGCTCACATAACTGTGCACGGCGTGAAGTGTGAAAACTCCCATGAGCTCTCAGGTTAGCGAGCAATTAAAAGGCACTGTCAGAAGCATAAAATTAGAGGTGACATTCCTCTTCTCCCAGAAACCTCTCATCAAGCCGTGAGTCACAGTCTGAGATTTTATATCATGCACAGACTCATTTGGCTTAGGAATGAAGCCTATGCAAAGCATATGTGCAAATCAAAAAGCAACACCGTTTGCATTCGATCGCTCCAGCAGCGAGGTGAGGTGGTGCTCTCCGCAAGACGGGAGGCTGAAGGTGTTAAGATAGGAGCGTGCTAAGATGCATACGCTTGTGTGAAGTGTAGGCGGCCAGGAAAAAAGAAGGTAGGTCAAACTCACATGCCCCAAATTCTCCATTGCAGTCACATTACCGCCCCTTTTACGTCAACAAAGGCAATGGAGCCACCTCCAACGAGGCACCTTGATTCCTGAAGATTTAGGGAAGAGCTGGCAGCACTTGGAGTGAAGACTCAGCTGCGGATTTTCGTGGATGTACCTGCTACTATATTAACCTTGCTGCTCTAATCTCTGCCAGGGAGAGGGAAGGTGCAGAAGGGAATAGCCTTTTACTAGAGGAAACACGGACTCTTTTTTTTTTTTTCAAATCACCTAATCGCCTTGAAAGCTCTGCAGGCCTTAACAACGTAACCCCTTCCTCTGCTGCCACCTCCTCGTTCCCTCTCTGCCACCACCCTTCCCTTTGCCTCTGCAGAGCTGGCTGCTCTGCTTCTCCTGGGAAGCATGCATGCTTGGGTAGCACCCACCCCTTCCCCTCGCTCTGTTTTACCAGCTGCCCTGCTGTCCCGAGTGGTTGTATGGCCACAGCTCTTATAGTCCTGGTGGAAGGTCCCAAGCTGGGGGGGCTCAGGGGTCTTCCTGGGATGGGGAGCCCCCAGCCACCAGGAGCGGTGACAAGCCAAGCTCTTCCCCAGCCTCTCTGCCCCATCTTCAGCCCTGCCTCGGGTGGGATGCACAGCTCTCACTCGGAGCAGTGCCAGTGCCACCACGTGCCTGAGACCCCCGCAGACCCCCCTGTCCCGTTGTGGTGGCACTCTGCCCTCCCCAGGCCCTTCATCAGCTCAGCCCTGCTCCACCTGCTTAGCAAAATCAAGCAACGGGACCTATTTCGAGCTGTTGTAGCCCTGGGCCAGCTACAGGTGGAGGGGCAGAGAGGTTTTCTATTCAATTAAAGCACCCCTCCAGCCACCTTTCAAATTAAAAAAATAGAGAGAAAACCCATCCTACTAATAGAAGATTGATTAGGTGCCACAGGTGTTGGGCGGTTCTGTTTCTTTGTTTGTTTTAAATTCCCCTAAAACAAAATTGGTGGATTTTTATTTTATTTTTTTTTCAGCAGTGGGAATTAGTTTGCCGAGGACAGTCCTTTTTATTTGTCCCCCAGATAGATGAATCACGTCAGCACCTGGGCTGCAGAACAGCCAGAGCTGGTTTAACCTTGCCGTGATCTCCCTGAGATTATTTTCCTTGCCCTTGGACAAAGTCAAGAGGTTGGGTGCTGCGCAGCCCACCGAGGGGAGCAGATGGCCCCTTGCAGGACCAAAGCCCTCCGGTGGTGCCATGTAGCTGTGGAGGAGAAAAATGAGACCTGACAGCTCCTTTGCATGGTTTGCTCTGTTCAAGTGGTTTTGGAACGGCTTCTCCCTGCCTTTCCCACCCCAAACGCTTGCAATGCCTGGCTGAGAAAGGTCACACCCATTGCTCCCTGAAAATTACTTTCCTGCTAATCCCTGTGCAATGATGCTCACTGCTTTTTAATCCTTACACCTCAGACCTAAACTTCTGAGGCTGGAAGCTGGTTGCTCCAGAATACTTGAAATGGCATTTATTTTATATTCTGTTTTTTTGGTTTTTGTTTTTTTTTGTTTTAAATGACCGGAGGGTAAGTGGGTAGCATGGTGAGGAAGGACGGGAAGGAGAAACTGGGACAGAGGATAGGAGTTAGGGGAGAGGAAAGGAAAGGATAGAAGAGTTGCTAGGAAATGCACTGTGGGGCTTGAGCGAGTGTGAGAGAAAGGACAGAAGAAGCCCCTAACACACACCCCGAAATCTCACTGACTTTATTCTTATTTTTTTTTTTTTTTTATTTCCCCCCTGAGCAGGCATCTTGCATTCACTTGGGTCACTTCCATTCCAGTGAAAGCTTCCACCTCTTCCTTCCTATTTCCCAAAATGTGGGCACGATCCCTCCTCCTCCCAAACCTGGATATTAACATCCCCACCCTTCTTGCCTGCCCTAAACAAACTCTGCTGCAGCACCAGCTCACATCCGAAGTGCCCGGGGGTCCCTGAGACCATGACAGGGTGAAGGAACCGAGGGTCCCTTCCTCCCGCTGCCCCCTCCCCAGCCCCTGATTCCTTCACCCTGTTCTCTCCCCTTCTCCTCCTCACTTCGAGGGCCTCATTCAGATCTCGCACACACGATAAAACCCGACACGAGCGGAGCTGCTCCCCGTTCCCTCCGGGCTGGGTGTCCCCATCCTTCTCCCCACAGCCCTGCTGGAATCCCCAGCAGGGGTGCTGGGGAGGGGGCACAGCTCCTGCCCCTGCTGTCCCTCGCTTCAAGGTGTGTTCTGCATGAACTCTTTTTATCGTGTTTGTCTCGATCAGCAAAGCAAGAGGAATTCCATCTCCTCAGACAGGACACGACTGCGCTGATGTAAACCAGGCCCTTCACGTGTGCAACACATACTGCAGAAATAAAGGAGAAAGCTCCATGTCTGACAAAACCCCCTGGGGACAACGTCTCTGTCTTTGGTGTTGGCATGCTTGTAACAGCCCCAATGAGTTTAGGTCTCTTCCAAATATTTATAGGAGCAAGGGGGTTGAAAAACAAACCAAAACAAACAAATCCCACAGCAACAACAGAACAAAAATGCATTCTCCTGGTTTCCAGAGGCTTGGTTTTCACTGCTTTCTGGTACCCAGCTAGACCAGCTCCTATGTACTGCTCCCATGCGAGTCCTTCCCTGCAGAGGGCATTTTACAAGCCCTCAGTCTGTGGCTGTTTGGGGTTTTGGTTCCTCTCCCTCTCCAACCTCACCATTTCCCACCAGAGGAAGGTGCTGGCTCACACGAGCAGCCTGGTCTCTGCAAGGAGAGCTGCCGACCTCTCCGATTTCTGGTCCATATGATGCCCTCTCTTGTCTATGAGCGAGAGGATAAATCCCCCGTGTGCTGCTAGATGCAGACTGTGTGTGAGTATCTGTGGGGGTGAGAAGAGGCAGGCAAGGTTTGCTCATTTACCTGAGGCACTGAGGCAGGCAGCTTCCAGATGATGTCTGGAATATTCTGGAATATTCCTTCTCCTGGGTTTGGGGTACCACCTGAACATTGCTGCCAGCCGTTCCTGGACAGCGAGGGTACTGCGGATTCACTCGAGAAGCCAGTAAATCCTCCTTGTTTACCCCCACATGGGAGTTAGCAGAGAGCCGAGCTCAGCTCCTTCCCATCAATTCCATTCACTGCCTCCATTACTGTTATTACTGTGATTAAAAAGCAATCAGAGAGGAATCTCCTTCCTGTCCTAAAATTGCTGTGAACGCCTCGGTTCCACCACTTAAGCATGAGAAGAGCGAGCGTCGAGCACGCTCTGCACCCCCGGCCTCCGTGATGCTGAGGAGCCCGCAGGACTGGCAGGGGGGCTGCAGCAATAAACCTCATGGAAATGAACCCTCAGCAGGGGGAGGACAAGCAGGGAAGCCCTGGAGGCATCACGAAGAGTTTCACAGCCTGGAAGCACGGGTTGAGACCAGGGCTCCCTCTGCTCAGACCGTCCTCAGCTTGGACCCAGGGCCAGTCGTCTGCTCGCCATCTCTAGGAGGTCCCCAGATCATTCAGCATCCCATAAATTGAAGTCTTCTCCCTCTTTCACCCCCAGCAATTCTGTGGTTTCCTGAAAATTCAGGCTTCTGGGTCCAGTTCCTTGGCTCTTTCTCCCCACAGGCTCTATTTGCAAATCCCCCTACCTGCCAGATCTGCCCTCACACCCAGAGGAGATGTTGGAGGCTCTAAAACCCAAAAAACCCTTGCTCCCACATCCTCTGCCCCTTTTGAAATGCTGCCCCCTTGTCCCGAGCTGATGTAGGCTACCTGGGGGCCATGTGCTCAGGAAAGGATGATTTCAAGGCAGCCAGCACCCCTTGGAATAGCATCTGCAGCCTTGCTTCCATCATGACCCAGAGCGCACAGCCTGCAAACGCGGCTTGGTGGCTGTTTGGAGAACAGACTGAAACGGTCCCTCACTGGTAGCAGCAAGTTTGTGCTGAATTTTCCTAGCACATACGCAATTCTGTGCTTCTGAACGAGAATGATGCATGAGCCGAGCTAGTGCGAGGGAAAAGTAAATAAGGTGGGGACAGAGCCTCTCCCTGGGTGGATATTGGCTGCGAGAGTCAGCTAAGAATCAAAGCAAGTAGCTCCCAAAGCTGATCGTCTGTAATAATTCATTCAGCTCACTTAATCACTTGACTTCTGCCACCAGAGCAAGACAGACCATTGTTTTATCTTCATACATATTGACTATAAAGTTTTTTAAATGAACAATTCTTCAGGAGCATAAACAGGAATAATAAAATCTAATTGCTTGTGAACCTTTATGTTTTTGCAATATTTTTGTGGCATAAATTTGCCAGTCTTTTGCACAAAGATAACACAGAAATAAAGTGTTTGAATTTGCAAATTAGCAAGCGTAAAATGCAGGGACACATTCTTAATAAAACTATTGGGATGTTCAAACCGAAGTCTATGATAGATTTGGAGTTTTTATTGCCAGGGATCCGATATTTAGATAAAATCTAAAAAACACTTTGCAAAGTGTTGGGGCTACGGACCTGGGGCCATCACTAGATAATTTCCTCCAGACCACGAAGGAGGCAGCGGGCACTCTGGCACCAGCTGCAGGCTCTCAATCAACCCCAAACTCAGCTCTGAGAATTTCCTAGTCTAGGGAGCTAGTCTAGGACCTACCTTCAAGACATCCCTTACCACATGCCAAGTTAAGTACGGGAATATGTCACATGTGGGACCGGGGCTGGGAACTCATAGGAACTATTTATCACCTGCAGATACAACATAACCTGTAATTCTGCTACCTGAACACGTCACAACAAGAACCTTTTCCATCCTAACTCCCCACGAGCTGTCCTTTATGGCTCACGGACACTGGCAATGGCAGTGGGACTCTGGGGTGCGTGCCATTACCTGCTGTGCTTCTGATACAAACAGCTCACTGCAACCTCAAATATTTTCCCAGCAGAGTCTGGTGAAGAACACTCATGTTCTTTCTACCCAACCACTCTTTCCTGTGTCCCTCTTTCAGTTAAATCACTTGAAAGAATTGTTGCAACAATTGCTCTAAATGGAAAGAGTTGTTCCTAGGGGAAGCCTTGCAGGTTAATATTCACCCTTAACCTGCAAGTAAACATTCGAACCAGATCAAACACGCCAGGATGGTTGTAGTGATTAATTTGTGCATTTTAGTGCATTTAAACTGGCAGTGTTATACTGTTTATGTACCTAGTCCCAGGATAGTCACCACGCACTGCCAAACTACCTGCATGTTATAGTAATGAGGGATAAACCCTTCCCCTTTTCTAGCTCTTGTCATTACAGGATTGTCACTGTTTTGCAACAAAAAAACCTATGGGAACCTTGGTGAGCTCTAGCAAGAACTTGCTGTGTCCTAGGTCCCCATGCTAAGGCTGGAGTGGGCTGAACTGGCCAAGAGATCCCAGGTCACCAATAAATGAATCTGCTTTGCTGCCTCCCACTCACCAGCCCCCACACATCACCAGCATCAGCTTGCACTGATGCTATGAAATAGCCAAGAGCCAGAGCTGCTGTGATCTGCGTTGGGAACTCAAGTGGCACAGGACAGCTGTCCTGGTTCCACAGGGCTGTGCTGACAACGTCCTTTTGGGGGACTCCTGAAAGAAACCTGCCTCGAACTCCTCAGCGAGCGCATTAGCACCAGGAGCCCTGCCTCGCATTTCCCTGCTCCAGCAGTTTGACAGACCCCATTACCTTTTCACACGCCATTTGGCTGCTGTCAGAAGCAAGAAAGCTTCTTAACAGGGAAACCTTTAAAGGCCACAGCCTGCATATGTGTGCTCTTTACACAGAGCCTCCTTCAAAGAAAAGATTTACTTCGCATTTTCTCTTCCCGCTCGGGACCTCCAGGGGACGATAGCTCCATAGCCATGCT